TGGAGTGATACAGCTTGAAAGATCCTGTCTAAAATACAGACATAGATATATGGGGACAGTCTGGTCATGTTTTTCACACTTTCAGTAGTTTTTGCAAATTAAATATTAAGGCCTCCCTCATAGAGGAAATTGTCCCATTCTGCTTGCCTAGTATATGTGTATCAATTACACTAGCTGATTGTTTGTTCATTTCCTTTTTTAAGGCCTTCTCTCTTTCTCTCCATGTTATGTTTCTTTTACACATGACACACTGTTGGCTGCATTGTTGCATTGAGGAGATAAGGCATTGGACGGTTGTTTTCTAAACCAGTGTATCATTTTTGTTTGGTTGTTATTTGATAAGATAGGGTTAATGTATTCATTGAATGTTGAAAATTGTGTATAAAAACAAACTGAAATAGCATAAAAACAATCTAATAAAATCTGCCAGTGTTTGATTAAGTTATAATTATTTTCTTTGACAAACTTCCTCTCAAATATGATGCAGTCCTATTTTTGAGCCAAAGTCTTAGTTATTTTCAAACTGTACCTCAAAATCTTTCTTTAAAAACATTTGTTTCCCCTTGTTACAGAATTTGCATTGGCTTTCTAAGTTATTTGAATGTACTGCTTATTTCATTCATGAATATGGCCAGAATACTTGGCACGCTTTCAGAAAGCATTCTGTAAAATAGTATTTCAGTCAAATACTATTTGACTTTGTGAGTTTTATAAAGTGTGAGCTAATTTACAAGATACAAATTATTCTTATTCTTATTAATGTATTTTATCTGAAGAAGTCCAGAGCTTAGACACACTAAGAGGTGCTAGAAGTCTGAGGTTTAATTTCTTACCTTAGAGAATGCAGTACAAAAAAAAAATAAAATGGTGCGCTGAGAAATACAGATCAGCAATTTTAAAAATAGCCAAGGTTCCAAATGATTAAAAATCAATGCAGTTGAACACACATACATTTTAAAAAGGGAAATATCTCTTAAGTCTTAAGTTGTGCCCAGAATTCTGTGTTGTACAGCAGTTAAATTTCTTCTTTTATGGCAGTCCCTTACAGTTGAGGATTATTGTCTTCCATGGTTGCCTTATCGGTGCATTGGAAGATGGCTGATGAGGCCTGTCTGGGATCAACAGACTCTACTGAAGCTTGGACATGTGTTTCTGTGTGGGGTGGGTGGTGCTGGATTCTTGATTTGATCTGTGATGTGCTGTTTCTGCCACTTTGACTTTTTCATCTCCTGATGTATAGGTCACCTCTAACTGTCAGACAGTTTCTGTTTCATTATTATTAAACATATGATTGTGTTTTTCTATTGCTGATCATTTTGTCAAACTTTAACTGTTGACATTTTCCATGCCAGGTATCTGCTTTACCCTTCGTTTTTCGTTTTTGTTTTTTTGTTTTGGGGGGTTGGGGGGGAGTTGGTCAGGTTTCAACCAAAATGGCTTAGCTTTTCAAGAGAATGAGATTGGTAGAATACTTTGTTTCTCCTATGTGGTGGCATTGAAAAGTTAGAGGATAGAAAGTTAGAGAAGGAGAACAGATATAAAACATCTTATGTCGGTGATACCAGAGGCAGAAGAGAGAATGAGAGGAGGGAAGGGAGATGGTCATATCAGATGTTGTTTCTTTTTCTCTTTAAAGAAGTTCATAGAATCATAAATAAGTAGGGCTGGAAAGGACCTTCATAGGTTATTTATTCTCACCCCCTGCCTTAAGGCAGGATCATTCCTATCCAGACCATCCTATACAGATCCATTGTCTAACCTCTTAGCAAAACTACATCATCAATCCTGACACAACAGAAGATATAACAGCCTAATCTGCCTCAAGTAAAACAGGGAGACTGGCGGCTATTGTCCTGCTACAGTAAAGGTGGTTAATATACACTTGATTTCAGAAAGAGGCCACGTCCCCAGCTACAGAGGAAGGCAAAAATCGCCACAGTCCATATCAGTTTTACCATGGAATAAAATTATTTCCTGAGCCCAGATATGATGATCAGCCTGACCTTGAGTGGAGCAGCAAGACCCTCTAACCAGGAACCCTCCAGGTTGTCCCAGCTGGAGCATTGGCACATCCCAGTAAAGAGTTCCAGCCTTGGCTGCAGCCAATACCCAGTTCATCTGAGGAAAGGTTAAAAATACCCTAACACATGTAGTAGCAGGGGAGCATGAGGGAAAGAGTTGTTGAGATCCTGTTAAAGAAAGGAGGGGGTGGGCAAGGGTCTGAGGTGGAGTCAAATGAGGTAAATCATGAGCAGATCCAGGATTTTGAAAATGGGGGTGCAGAATGTGTGGCACAGCATGACACACTTTTCTCTTGTTAAAGAGAAACTACAAGTCTTATTAATATGCCAAGGTACTATTGCTATATTGTTCACTTTAAGATCAGAGCAAAAACAAATATACCATGTTTACTTGAATACAGGACAAAGCTTTTTCCCCCAGTCAGCGTAGGGGGGGAAGTCCTTTGACTTATATTTGCATACAAGTAAACTTCATTAAATACTTTGTGTATTATTAAACTTCAGCCAAAAGCAGCATGTGTTTAGTAATGGAAACCAGTTATGAAGTTGAGTAAAAGCAACCAACACTGAGTGTGTCTTTAAAACACATGGCCCATATTGTTCAAACACTGATGGGAACTTCTTTTTTTTTTTTTTTTT